AGCGCGCCGTGTCGACCGCGTCTGCTGGGCGCACAGCGTCACTTGCGCCTCTTTCAGCCGTGGCCGATCCCTCACGCCAGCCAGCCCAGCGTGGCCCCTTGCGCGTCCTAAAGACCGCGAGGCGTTCGGTGACGGGAACCTCATCGCTGCACGCAACGCTTTCCGCCACACGCAAATCCCTCGTGTCCCAAAGACGCCACGCCTCACCTGCGCGCTGAAGCAAGCACGTTTCGTAAGGCGCCTTCTCGACCGCCACGGTCCCAAGGTCCTTCTGCGCAGGGCGCCTACCCCACACAGACGCGTAACCACCTGGCGCCTCCCACCAGCTGTCGACGCTTGGAAGGTGGTCCAAGCAAGTAAGCACTCCAGGCTCCTCAACAGGGCGCCCAACCGGGCCGCTCCCGCCCCACACCGAAGCGAGAACAGTCACCGCAGCAAGGACCGATAGCACACCGATCCTGGCGCCGGTACGCAGCCGCCCAAAGGACCGCGCACACGAGGAACAACCTTGGAAGCTTCTTGCCGCGGCCCTGGACGCGGACCCGCAAGCAAAGCACGGGTCATGGTCAACCGAAGCAACGGCGACCCCACAATCCGCACATGCCTGCGGAGACGGCTCTGACTCGAACACCGTCTCAATCGCGCCACAACCACAAGCCGCAGTGCTGACGAGGCCGGAACGCACTTCCGCAACAACCTCGCCTGGCTGGAGAGAGTGATCACACTCTTGGGCTGCAAGCAAAACAAACCCTTTACCCTCTCCTGTGGGCCAGAGACCTGGCACAGCCTCAACCCCACACTCAACCGGAAGCACAACCTCGGACAGGGATCCCTCTGCGGAGACTCCTGACTCCCGCACGACTGGCACCAGCACCCCATCACCTGGCGAGAGCTCGAGCGGCTCTTCCCCGTCATAGCGGAGAAGCTCACGACTTCCGCCCCCAGGCTCGATGCATGACGCGTCGTCCAGGCTTGACAACCGCGCTTCAAAGGCATAGGCCCTGTCCTTCCGAGTCCTACTGTGATCCTCACATCTGGGCATCCTGATTCCCAGCGTGTCGAGGACATGAAAGTCGGGACCCGGCCTGAATCCCAAGCCCATCCTTCCGGCGCAGTCCAGCGCTCTGCCGCCAAGGATAAGTCCGTGCCAATCGGACGTGCCTCTGGCTGCGATTTTACACCGCACAAAAATCTCGGTGTTGGGGCGACAATCGTCCGCCGTCTTGCCTTCCAGCAGCGTGACGCGCAAGACTGCTGCCCCTTTCAAAGGAACTGGGGCCCCCGATGCGATTCCATGCACATATTCGGGGTGGACCCACTTCTCAAGTCTCACGACCGGAAAGCCAGGATCCTCAGTGCCGATCCCAAGCTCTGCAGCCCGGTTCATCATGCCTACCACGAGTTCCTCAGTCACGTGGTTTGCGCCGGCGCAACCGTCAAGCATGCACTCGACCTTGCGGTCGAGGACCTGGACCACCGTTCTGTACTGGTAGCCTCCTGGCTCGTTGTCCGCCAGGTTCCACCAGTCCTTCGGCAGATCGTCCAAGGTGGCGAACTTGTCCCGCCCGCCCTTGCTTAACGGAAGCGCGTGCTGCTGCACCGCGGCGTGTCCTGCGGCTCCTAGGACGCCTGCCTGGACGCCTGAGCTGCCTATCTGGACACTGAACGCGGCGAAGGGGTTAGACATGGAAGCACCGGAGGGCGGGGCCCAGTTGGCAGGCAAGGCCGGCGTCCCTCCTGAGGTCGTCAGGTTGTGGACCATGTCGCAGCTGGCTCCTTTCTTGCACGACCCATTCTTGGAGAAAAAGGGGCAAACAGTGCCTGGTGGCTTTGCCGCGCCTTTGGCCGCAGCCTTAGGCTTTGCGTTGGCTTTTGCTTTGCCACCTCCCTTCCCTTTGCCTTTACCTTTCGCAGTGGCAAAGGTTTGGTCACCCTTCTTGGCCGCGAGAGCTTTTCTGCGAAGCTCCTTGTCGTGGCTGTACGGGCAGGCATCCCCTTTCGGGCAATTCCCATGATCGCGAAAGTGGAAGCAGATCTTCTTGTCCGCTCCTTTGCCAGCTCCCTTCGACGTAGCAGCATACGTCTGGTCCGCGCCAGCTTTGGCCGCGGCAGCTGCTCCTTTCGCAGCAGCCTTCGCAGCGGCCTTGAGACTCTTAATCTCCTTCTGAGCCTCAGCCAGCGCGACCGCCGGGTCCGCGCTCTGCGAACCGGTGGCCGTGTACACAGAGTGGGAAACAGCCCTGTGCGCTGCTTCTCTCTGCTCGTACTCCAGAACGACTTTGTGGCTCTCCTCCCAAGTCTGCGGTCCTCGCAACCCGCCATCCTTGGGGTCGCCAGGCCACAACCTTTTGTCGTTCCGGATCTCCTTTTGGAGATAAGGGGGCATCTTGCGGAGGTATGAGAGATACAACTCTCGAGGGGTCTTCCCGAGACCTACTGCCTCAAGGTCCGCGATCGAGGCCTCAAACAAAGGCTCGAATTGGTGGCCTGTGAGCTTACCCTTAGCGAGAGAGGCGTGCTCACCATCCACGCGGACTTCTCTTTCCTCCCGCGATTCCCCGAACATCAAGTGTTTGTTCTTGATGCGGTCATACACCGCCTGTGGATCTGAGAGAACCTCTCCCGATTTCCACGCTGCGCGGTACGCGTTCGTGTACGTCTTCATGCGCGAGCCGCGGCAGCGCCCGCGTAGCGCTAACAGCTTTTCGCGCGCACTCATACCGCGACAGTTGTTGGCCAGCGCGCAGACGTCCTCGAACTCCTCGTAGAACAGGACAACGTCTCGCGCGTCCGACTTGTCGTCGGTCAGCGTCGGCCACGTGAGGTCAGTTTTGACCGTAGTTATGGAGCTTTGCCCGCCCCTCTGCGCTAACGCTTCTTTCAGCGCCTCAGTTTGGGCGGCGAGTGCGGCGGCGAGATCGCCCGCCGGGTGTTGGGACCCGGTCTGCGAACCTCCGCCGTCTGAACCTCGCTTCAGGGCTTCTATCTCCATCTCTAGCGCAGCAAGCTTCGCGCGCAAAGGGGAATCGCCGTCCGTCGCGCCCAGGACACGGGCCGCGGAAGGACCACCTGCAACCTCAGCAGTGTGCAAACCTCCACGGTCCAATCCTACCCCCAACCCACTTGCAGTCGCAGGCTGTGGGAGCCCTGGGGAACGCGGCCCCACGGCTTCAACTGGCACATCGGACGGGGAGCTCCAAACCTTCTCTTGGCTCGAGCTTTCTTTTCCCCCTAACGCGAGGATAAGCTCCCCGATGCATTGGATTTCGCGCTGAATCTCCTCTGCGTCTTCGGGGTCCTCGCCACCGCGCAAAGCCGCGACCGAGAACCTGGTCCGCAGCCGACGGACCATCTTCGTAGGATGCCAGTCCCCGCCTATCTTGGAGAACTCATCCGCAAGGAGGGTGGCTTTGGTGCTTAAGGCGTCAAGGTCACGGGAGCTCACCGTGACTCCATGCGCTTTCAGCGCGAGGACAATCCGCGAAACGCGCGTCAAGTAGTCCGCGACCGGTTCTTGGTCTGGACGGAAAATCGCGCGCAGCTCCGCCTGCAAGCCCTCTGCGGTGCCTGGCACTGAACCTGCTGTCGACGGCGGACCGGACGGTCCCGCCGGGCGGGACCCTGGTGCCGTAGCAGGGACATAGGCAGCACCGGTAGGGACCATGGCCAGCTCCCTAGCCGCGGCGCTGACGTCCACCCGCGGCGGACTGTCGCCTCCAGCGCCCGAGGCCTCAGGGACTAGCTCGGAGTCCTCTTCTTCTTCCTCTTCATCCTCGTCCTCCTCTTCGGCGTCATGGAGGAACTTCATGACTTTCCGCCAGAGAGCCGCCTCTTGCTCTGGCGTAGTGCTGACCCCATCCCGCTTGGACAATGGACGGCTGCCAGTCTCCCTACGCCACTTAAGCCAAGCGACGTAGCTCATCCGCTCGGGATAGGGAACGTCTCCACCCTCGATAGCTTCGAGGAGGGTGACGCCCTCAGCCTGACCTGCAACCTCTGCGGACATTGCCGCAACACAAGGCGAAAAGCCGCGCCTTGGTCAGCAGGCCGCAGGCGTGGCACGCGAAGCGCCGCGCCTTGGTTAACAGGCCGCAAGCGTGGCACACAGTCCACGCGTCCAGGTCACGGACCGCGACAGACAAGCAAAGCAATGCTTGCCCACTCGGGCCGTAGGCACAAGAGCTGTACGTTCCCAGAACAGCCCCCAATTGTGAAGTCGACCAGCACTGGACTTGCACTAAGCCAATGCAATCACAGCCCGGTCACGCTGTTTTACGACTTCGTGAGTCCAAGCACTTGTGCAGCTACGCCTGAGTGCGTCCGGTCGGACCGCACAGCAACCTAGGAGCTACTGTACGACTCTACCGTGCTCAAAGGCACAAGCTCGGTACTTGAGCCAAAATATTGGCATTGTTACGAATTGCAAAACTCTAAATGCAAAGGAAAACTACAAGGTGGTCTGCCGAGTCCTAATGCATCACAGAGCAGAAGATGCATATGCACTCATGTCAGCTCACAGTATGTATATGTATGTATATGTATGTATATGTATGTATATGTATGTATATGTATGTATATGTATGTATATGTATGTATATGTATGTATATGTATGTATATGTATGTATATGTATGTATATGTATGTATATGTATGTATATGCATATGTATGTATATGTATATGTATATGTATATGTATATGTATGTGTATGTATGTGTATGTATGTATATGTATATGCATGTATATATATGTATGTACATGTATGTATATGTATGTATGTGAATTCTTATGTGTTTGATGTGTATGTATGCGTCTGTATGTATATGTATGTATATGTAACGCATGTCTATGCATACTTGTGCATACCTATTCATATCTATGCGTGTCTATGCATTTCTATGCATTTCTATGCCTATCCGTGTGTGTGTGTGTGTGCGTGTGTGCATGTGCATGTGTTCCACTGGGAACTGGTGACATGTTGAGACTTTTGTTTGCTGTGCAGGTATTCAACTTTGGGTTCTGACTGGCGACAAGTTGGAAACTGCAAGAAATATCGGCTTCAGCACCAATCTTCTCAGTGTCGAAATGGTTGCTGGCCTCACTCAGTTCCAAAGACATGGAGTAGTCAGTGAGACAACTTGACGTGGTTGAGCTCAAAACCAAGGATATCCGGGTCCTTGAACACTCGGAGAATATCAGTGATGCTTTGCAGGCCTTGCATGGGTCATTTTTGACGGGCCACTGGCACAATCCCCATGAAAATGGTTTTGGTCTCTTGTGAGCTTCGGGACGAGAATCTCCTTTCCTTGTGTGCACAGCACGCTGGTTTGACCTCTCAATTTATGCAAATGCTAACGTGCCCTGCTTCGGCGAGGTCTGCACGTCAGCTGGTTTTTCAGACAGCGAGACGACAGGGTCAATTTGAAGTTCCGAAGTTCGTAAAGGGCCCTTAGAGGGTTTCCATCGAGAGTGCATAGAGAGCACAGGAAGGTTTGGGGGGGGGTTTGAAGGTTTTGGTGGGGAGTTCTACAGTCCAAAAAGGGTCGACAGCTAGGGGGTTCATAGTGGGGGGCATAAGGCCACAAAGCTTTAATCGGGTTCGAAGAGGGGTCCATAGGGATATCGGGACGTTCAAAAAAGCACAGCAGTCCAAGGAGCGTGCATTTGCGGTCCAGAAAGGTCCCATAGAAGGAAAGCAGAGGGGGTCCATGGGTGGGCATCGGGCCGCCCAGAGAAGGGGGTTGAGGTCCAGCGAGGGTAGGGGGGGGGGGGGCCATGGTCACAAGCATCCACGAAATTCACAGGGGTCCGGAAAGGAAAAGCGAAGGTCCCTGAAGAGTATCTTGGTTCCAAGATGGGGCACAGGGATTGATTTGGGACTCCGATGGCTGTGAAGGCTGTGGAGGCTGTGGGGTGCAGAGGGCGGGGTGGTCATAGTGGGATTCCCACCTTTTTGAGCGGGCTGGAAAGTGAGGAAGTCCTGAAGCGAGCCAACCCCTAGTAGGGCCTAATAGGGCACCGGTCTTTTTCCCCAAACGCCTGAGGCATGGGGCCTCGGCGGATCCAACAAGGTGAAACCAACAGACAAAGAACAAACCAATGACAGATGGCCCGGGCCTGCAGGTAAGGGTTTTTTAGCTACTACAACGAAAAATGATGTTGAATACCCCCCCAGATGCCAGCTTGTGTCAAGCGGCGACGAGTTGTTCTTTGCAGTCGGGGTAGAATATGCTTGAACATCCTTTTTCGCAACACCTGCTGGTGGGGGCAGAATTTCACCTGCTCCCATCCTGGACGTGACGCTGATGCCGTTTTCATTTGTGTTCAGATTCGTGGCTCAGTGGCTAGAGACGTTTAGAATCATCGATGCTTACGTGACAGCACGTGCCAATTGATGCAGGAACTTGTATCCCCGGATCTTCTGCCTGAAGATCGTGAGGACTCTGCGCTGACACTGGTCAGGAAATCACTGCTCTGTGAGGTATCCTGATGTCAGAAGTGGGGTCGCACCGTCATGTTGTGCCGAGTACCCAAGGTAAAAATGGATCGAAAGCTAGGAGTGAGAAGTGGGGATCTCATGATTTCGAAGATCGTCAGTCCCAAGGATGGTCACTGGCGCCGCCCTGGAGCAGGTGACTGCAGCCGGCCTTCTAGAGGACTCTCACAGGGTCTTGTGCAGTCTGTGCATTCCTTGGCATTCTGATGGCGGGGGCTTGGCAGGAATTTCTGCAGGCCTCGAGCGCCTGCAGCGTGGTGATTGCCTGCCGGGTCTCACCACTTCAGAAGGCGCAGCTGGTGCGCTTGGTGCGCGAATCATCCTATCCACAACCTGTGACGCTGGCAATTGGTGATGGCGCCAACGCCCTTTGGCAAAAGGCTCCTGCGTCTTCTGTGCTTCATAGCCGTGTCACCGGCTAAGGATGTGCCCATGATCCAAGAGGCCCATGTTGGCGTGGGCGTGTCTGGGAAAGAAGGTCGTCAGGCCGTCAACGCCTCAGACTTTGCCATTGCCCAGTTCAGATTTCTGGAACGGCTTCTTCTGGTCCATGGGCGGTGGGACTACCGCAGGACATGCAAATTCATCTTGTATACGTTCTGGAGAAACGCGATCATCACGATGCTGCTATTCTACTACACTTTTTTCTCCGGATACTCGGGCACCTGCATGTTCACAAGCACGGTCTGGACATCCTTCAGCATGATCCTTTTCTGGCCTATCATTGCAACTGGAATCTCCGATCGAGATGTGACTGCAAAGCAGGCAGTGGAGCATCCATCCCTCTACGAAACAGGTCGTCTGGGACTGGATCTGAACATTACCAAGATGGTGGAAATGCTGCTCTCGGCTTTTGTTCATTCTTTTGTTATCATGACGATTGCAGTTGTGGCGGTGATGGACCTCGACGTGGCAGCAACTGGATCTTACTACTCCTTTGGATTCATGGTGTTCTCGTGGGTTGTGCTTACCATGAACTACCGGGCCACCTTCATCACCACCACATACAACTACGTATTTGTCGCTGCCCTGGTCGTTTCGTTCGTTTCGTACTTGATCTTTGCCTTCGTGTACTGCAACCTGCCCTCCATCTTTCCGGAAGTGAGCCTTGGCATGCAACTGGAACTATTTGCTTGAGAACCCCCCCAAAAGATCCCATATTAACCTTATAAGCAAGAATATATACATATATATACATGTATATTCTTTGGGGGGCGTTCTTAAGCAAATGGTAGTAGCAGTAGTGGGACTTTCGATCTCCGGTTGCCGAGGGTTACTGGGAAATTCTGGGCTTCAGTATGTTCAGTCGTCAGGGGAGGCGGAGCTCCCCCAGGGGTGGGAATCTGCTCCTTATTGTTGTTGGGGAAAAGTTCCGCCTTGCCTCCAAATTTCAGGATGCTTCAGGCCATGAAGTTGGGCGTACCTTCCTTGCGCTTTCCTTGCGTTCCTTTTCTCCAGATTCGGCTGCTCACCACTTCAGGATTCAGCTTAAGCTACGCCGCAAGCTGCGCTGCCAGGTACGGAACTTTCCAGCACGTGGTGCGGAATCCTGTCTTCTGGATGGGAAGTCTTGCCGTGCCCTTGCTGGCCGTGATGATCGACATGTTCAAGGCATCGATATAGCTTTGGAGCCCGTCGAGTCTCAATTCTGAAGCTGTTAGCTGATTGATTCTGATCTTACAGAAGCTGCTACTCAGATACTCGTAGAATCTCGTAGACTCAGACACAATAGGATGTAGAGGGTCGTGAGTACACGATTATAGGAGCAGGGATTGAGGAGCCAGTTACATGCCTGTATAGGATAACAGCTTATTCACCCAGCTGTGCAACCCAACAGCCAGCAAGAAAAAGATGATCAAGGACCAACAAGGAAAAGTTCGCTTGAGTCCTTGAGTTGCCAAGATCATGCCTTCGGGACCTAGGAGCCAGCGGCATCTTGAGCCTGCGCCCTTTCTGTTTTGGCGCACCGTTCCGTTCCTGCAGGCGGCGTTCTGTTACGTTCCGGCGGGGGTCCCGTTCCGGTGTCTCTCCCTTCTGGCTCCTCTTACGCGTTCCGATTTAGCCCCGCACTTCCAAAGATAGAAACCCAACCCTTCGGCTGTTCGAAATTCTAGTAGCTAGCAAGAATAGCAACAAGAATAATACTAACGGTAGGGACGGGCCTCCCAGGAGCCAATCCCAAGGCTCCCTCATCCTCAGATGGTCTAAGAACTGTGCGAAGAACTGTGTAACCCCGTAAAGGCTGGTATTCCTCTGACGCCCCTTGAGCAGTGTGGGGATGCAGGTTTCGAGGGTCCGTCTTGAAAAAATGTGCACTACTAGCATTAGATCTATTTTTGTTATTGATACTATCACCTCTATGATTTCTATGATTGCTAGTAGGACTATCACTGTGGTCACTGTGGACAATGGGAGGTGCCACTTCGGGCATCCCAAGGTAAAAAAAGGCATCAGCGCGAGGGAAGCCCCCAGCGCCTACAAGCATTCCAAATCAGGGGTGTGCATTTTTCTAGGCTGTAGATCATGGCAAAAATTCTTAGAACGTCTTGACGCCATGGCATGTCCGGTTCTCGGGCATTGAGTCGGACTGTGAGCTTTCCCTGTTTTGCCGGCAGCAGCCTATTGTCCGGCAGCCCTGTGGACAACGAATGTCTCCAGGGCCTTGTACAAGGGAAAGATGGGAGTCGTCGGCATCAGCTTGGTGGCTAGTGCGTCTGCAGTCTACTGTGCCTGTCTCCCTAACAGTGGTGAGAAGGGTAGGGGACGGGCTTAGGTTTGGGAGGCTACCGACATGAAACGCGGAGCCACAACATAATATCCGCGCGTATATGCATATGAATTATGTACAGGAAGCATCTGTATGAAACATGCAAATGAAATCTTTAGATTACAAATATCATAGCGTGTTTGGACGAGCCGTTCTCGCAAAAGGCGTACTTGATGCTGGAGTTTTTCCCGGACCAGCGCGACTTGATCCTCGAGCAGAGCCTGCAGGGAAAGCTGTCGGATCATTTCCGCGCCGCCAAAGGGGCATCTTGGCAGTGTTTAGATGCATGTCGATGTTGAGCTCCGCGTTAAGCTGACAGTGTACTTAACAGAGGAGTTTATGTACATGAGTAACGAAGTGACCGACCATCATCAGTACCCAAGGATGCCGCGCGGAGGGGCAGTCGCTCCTCCTCATTTGGAAGGCCACTGCTCGCCCAGACGTTTTTTCTGCTGCATGTGCGGATTGGCAGTACACACACACACCCACACTGGCAGTATCATTTGCAGTGGCGAAGTAGCTGAACAAGTCCCACAACCGAAACATGGGCAAGTCTTAGTCAGTAGTTCAGAGTAGGAGATCACAGCCAGCACGAGCCAGTGCAGGTCGGCGACATGGCATACAGGTGAGATGTCGGCCATCTCCTCTGGCTATGCTTTCAGCTTTCCGGAAGGCACGATGGCATCTGTGTTCTTCGTCGGAACTCAGCTAGGTTAGGGCTCATGGTTTGTAGGCTGTTAAAGCCTTTGGCTTCAGGATCATTCGTTTCTTGCCAGGGGTGTTCAGTCAACAGAAGGGAACTGCTTATTGTAGGGGTCCGCCATCCTCAGCCCATGTGATGTAAAGCCCTGTCGGACAGGCCAGCGGGTGCAGTCCCTCGGGTCGACCTCTCAGGCTTTCTTTCGGAGAGCGGGATCCTGTCTTTGACATGGCTGCCAGTATCGAACACAGCCCCCCCAGCTTGGATTTGCATGTAGAATTCGTAGACTGCTACTACCAGCAACAGCTTCCTGGTTCAATTAATGCACGTGCCTAAAGGTCGGTTCCACGATTGCAAATGGACTTCGATACGACGCTGCTTGATGCCATGCCGTCGGGACGGCTCCTCGATTGCCAGATGCTTCATCTAATCTGTATGTAGATACCTATGTAATATGTATATATATAATATGTATATATGTCTATATCTGTATATGCAGTTCGATTTTTTAAGGTTGGGAAGTCAGCCGCTGCGTGTTGAGGGTTACAGATTCAGCGACTTTTTCTCCACCTGGAACAGAAAATGGAGTGAAACTTGTTGAAAGGCTATAGGTATTTCGGGACGACGCTTGGGATCTGTGCTGTATTGAAAAGATATTTCTGGAGACATCACGCAGAGACTTCTTGGTAAACCTTCCGCACCCGATCATCGGTGTGGCTTTCGTAAAATGGATACGAATGAGAAAAGGATATCTGCTCACGGTATTCTCGAGTCCCGGCGGGTTTGCATATAAACGATACATTCCATCCCCTCAATGCCTGCAAAACCGCCCTGACGCAATGTATAATACATAACGTATATGTTAGAAAATTACACATAAAATATAGAATATGCAGAAGATTCGTAATCGATATAGTGGTTCATGCACTATGCAACGCGTAATATGTAGCGTGTAATGCGCAATATACGTTCAATATGGCATATGACTCCGCGGCTGCAGTGCTCAGGCCATCCCCAAGCTTTGCAACCATTGCATCGTCCGACTCAGATTCGGGCGGCTCGTCAGGCCGGGATTCTTGGGTTGTCCAACTTGCTCGACTTGGGGGTTTCCGAAAGGGGTACCTTGTTGGGGTCCTAATTTCATAAGGGAACCCTAGTATTTGGGGGTCTATATTCGGGGTCCCTGATTTTGGTAAACCCCCAGGCTTGTTCCCCGACCTTGGATCGCTGATTCAACTTCTGGCGCTGTGCACACAGATCTGATAGAGTGCAAATACGTTCGACTCACACGTCCCAATTAACATGCAGAGAGGCAGAGCGCCGTGAGGATGCTACAGCCTCGCACATGGCGGGCTCAAGAAAAGAGCCTACCGCCGCCGAAACGAGCCAGCATCCCCAAGGGAGCACATGCGACAGGCAACCGGGGTGCATCCGACATTCGAGTTGAGCTCAATGCCAACACCCAAGAACACAACATAACACAACAAGTAACCAAGCGTACTCCGTGAACTTCTCTCCAGAAGCGCAAGACCAAGCACAATGGTGTGCCGGCATTTAAGCCCCTCGTCCCTGAACCGTTTGCCACAGCTCGAGTGCATCGTGGGATGTTACGTTGTGGTTTTTGGTTGTGTAGTACACTGTTGCAACAATGTTGCAACCCTAGTATGGGAAGACGTTACAATGCATAGAACATACATAACGACTCTGCCCAGAGACGCCTGCACCATTGCCGCGTGCACACTCATCGCATCCCATCGCCAGGCAGTGGCAGTCACGAGCCGCCCATTCAGAAGCCCAGGCCAAGCCAGTTTTCCCAGCAGGCCATGCCTTCGGTACAGCTCCTGAGCATTGCACATCACGGCAGTTTGTGAAAGATACACTCTCCAGTATTCACTCGTCATCATGCGCATGTTGCAGGATGAAATAAAAGTAGCCGTGAGACTCCAGAAGCAATCCTGCGGCGTGCGCAACTCCTGAGTGCTGCCAAGGTTTGCCCTGAATCGCAAAGTTGTCCTTGTGGCGCTCATATCCTCTGGCATCCTCTTCGTACTGATGGGCTTCATGACGCTGCTGTACTCTGAGAGCTCCTCTCAGTTTAGGGTAGTGTATGATGCGCCAGATGACTGGTATGCTGGCGTGGACAGCACCTTGGTCTAAACAGTGTCTAAACGTGTCTAAACCATTTGAGCCGCACCACGGCTGCGAATGTGATCGTAATCGAGATCGTAATCCTGAAGCCCCGAAGACTTTGTCGCGCTGATTTGCACAGAATTTTTGTCGTCTGCGCTCCAAGCCATGTGATGTTGCGTCACACTCACAGTGCTATGCCAGTGTTTGCAACGGTCAATAAAGCAGCCGACCTTGGTTCTAAGTTAAGAGGTGGCATTTTCAAATCCCTCATCCATTCCGTTGCATCAGTTTGATAGTACGAATGTCAAGACAACGCCCTCCCTACACTTCAAAACTGATGGCTGCATATACTCAAATGGACAACCAATGAGTTGTGCCATTGGGTTCAAGGCATGTTACATCTGCAAGGATTGCAAGCAAGCCCAGCAAACTGGAAAGCAGCCACAAACACCTTGTTGTTACTTTCACTCTGAGTTTGCTGCGCCTTTCCTCACCGGAGTTCGCATTACCAATGTTGAATATACCATACAGCTGGGTAGCTGTCGCTGGCACAAGCTTCGGTCACTTCGGGCCATGCTGATTAATTTGACATCGATGAACACACTTAGAGGGTCTTGGACGTAGCAGCCATAAGCTTTGATTCCCAACTGAATGCGTTGCTGCTGCCTTCATCGGCGACATGGGTACAGCATTCTTATCTTTCCATTTGGCACGAGAGGAGCGTGTCCCATGTTTCATGGACAAAGCATCACCTATAGCCAGTACTGTTTCCTGCTTCCTCCCGCAATCAGCAAATGCTTTGTCGTGCAAGTTCTTGTGAGAGAGGCGTGCAAAAGCCGCCAGTTAAAACGAAATCTCACAAAGAATGCCATTTTACAGGAAGACGCGCGCTCGAGAACGACAGGTGCCCCCAGCGATGCGGATGTCTATGGACCCAAAACGACAGGGCAAGTCCGGTTTCGCTTTCAAGTTGAGCAGTCACTGCGACAGGGCCGCAGAGCAATAATGACCCAATGTGGCACCTGGGCATGCTATTGCTCAGCCACCGTCGCGATGCTATGGGACACTTGCGTCAGGCCCACTGAGCCACTAGCCGAGGGGCATGTTTCACTGCAGCACATACTTTTTCAGGATGCGAAGAAGAGCTCATCCTTCAGGGTCATGCAAGAACTAGCTTGCGAAAGCATGATACGGGCGCATGGAGAAGAGAAGACGCGCCGTTGGCACACGCAACCACACCGCGACCTTTCGCATAGGCGGGCGCAGGAAGACTGCCGCCACTCCCGACCTTCGGGGGAAAGTCGAGCCCTCGGGACCTGGCGCAAGCAAACAGGGGCAACAGGAGCCAACAGGAGCCAACAGGGCCAACAGGGGCAACAGGGGCAACAGGGGCAACAGGGGCAGAGCTATTCCCTCTTCCCCGAAAAAAGAGCGCACCGTGTGCTGACTTGTTGTAGGGTGCAGGGTCCGTCCAAGATGCGTCATGGCGACGGCTGTCAGCCTCCAAAAAAGGCCATCTCATCGACCGACGCGAGGGCGCGGGGGCTCCCCCCAAATACCTAAGCCCGGTGAGAAGAAAAATGCAGAAAAGAGTCAAGAGCTCCAGTTTCCCGTCGATTCGGAGTGATACCGGGGTGTGTTTCAGTCACCACTAAGCCTAGGCCACAAGCCTCTTGAAAGAAGGGTTTGGCCGAAAGGCATGCGGGCATGTTTCTTGTCAGCACAGTGCTCTTCTGCAAGGCACCGCATCCTTCGCCGGTGAAGTATTTGTCCGACCTTGCCGTGCTCCCCAACGCTGCACCTTCAACATTGCCGTGCCTGCCAACCTGGACCCCCCAATCCAGGCCGGCCGATGAAAGCCAAAAACATCACAAACTGCCATGCGACTCTGTGTCACAAGTCGTTCACCTTCTGGCACCAATTTAAGAATGTCTGCGAGCGACAAGCGAGGGCACTGGTAGAAAGCTCCTCCGACGATTCAGGTGTATTACGAAGTGAAGCCGTTCCTGCAAAACTATATCAAATACATTAGTCAGGGCCTTAGCTGAATTTGAGGCTGCCAGCATTGGTGCCACTTCTCAGGAGCGCGAGTCGTTTAGCTCCTGGGACCGGCATACTCGACGTTGTGTTTGCTGCTTGCATCGTGGCGCAAGGTTCCATTGCGTGGGACCAACTCCAGGGAAAGGAGGATGCGAATGCAGGAGTACTCTGCGAACCTCGTACCCGAGCCTTGCCGTTGGACAGTTTTGCAAGCAATAGATGTGCGGAAATGGTTGACAATGAAGGGGTTGCAAGAGTTCTCGCGGGATGAAGTGTAGGAACTTTTTTAGCATCTTATTGCGTGCCCGACATCGTCCGAAAAACTTCGGACACCCTGTGAGCAACGACTGCTGTTGTATGCTTTTCTGAGTTCGCAATCACTCGGACAGAAATGGTCACTCTTTGAAGTAGAGCTGACTGAGCCATGAGAGAGTGCCTTCGAAGCACGAAAACCGTCACCCACACGACACCGGCCTCCTGACATGCAAGGTGAAACGCCGCAGGGGAAGGAGATCTTCCCCTGCGGTCTCATTGCCACTTCCGTGTTCAACGACTCCTGGTTGCACTTCTAACATCTTCTAACTGTTCTAACTGCATGGTTCCAGTACTGCGCCCGCTTAGCGAAATGTATAATATGTATTGTGGCCGCAGCCGAGGATACATTTGAGATTCAAGGTATCCCCATCGACACTGAGTCATCACACATGCCTGTCTGGCGCAAGTTCTACAATCCACCAAACTATTTGGAGCGCTCCAATGTTACTTGGTTGTACGAGCGATATCCGATGGTGACGAGCCGTGCACTGGGAGTTCAAAGCAAAAGGTTCATTGCGTGGATGCTGCCCAACTTCCTCAACCGAGCTGGAAAGCCCTATGGTGTTGTTTCTCAGCCTCTGCAGAAAGGGCAACTCATCACCTTGCACATCACTTCCACTTTCCCGGTTAAGGGCCTTGGGGCCCAGAAGTCGCTGCTACTCACACGAGGAGCTCAGAACTACACACTTGCCTATATCTTGTTGACAAGCCACCTGGCGCAAGATGTACCGCGTGCGGTACTGTAGTCACTGTTTTGGTCGCAGTTGTTAAGTCGACACGAAATGGAGTAAATGGAATGCCATCCCGTGTGAAATGTAAGGTGGAGCGCTTTGCTTCGCTTTGGTCTTCACGGTTGTTGCGATCTACTTGTCTTGTGGCCGGCAGCCAGGGAAGCCACGGCAGAGGTTCTCGAGTTTCTCATCTACCTGGCGACATACCCCGGAGATGGAGAGCACGAGCAGCGAAGAAGAATCGAGTGCTTGAGAGTGATGCGCACTTGCGAGGCGGTCGCAAAAGCTGTCCCCGGACGTCGCCCTTAAGGAATCTTTGCAGTTTGCCAGCATGTAGCGCATGGGCCAAAGGAGTCCAAAGTTCCATGTTCGGCGAGATTGTGGACCACAAGAACCATGTATCCGTCGCAAAGAGACTATCCACAGCGCTGTGGATGAAGATCCATCGAGGTACGTACAACAAGGATCATTGTGCGAATTCAAAAGATCGGAAGTTCCCCCTTCCTGAGATTTATTATCAGATACTTGAATCAAGGAGATTGATTTTGCTTTGGATGAATGGAATTGATTGTTCCTTTCTAGATTTCGAGATATCTGGAAAATTCTAATTCAAATGAACTTTTATTATATTTTGATTATTTCAATTCTTGAAGAATTAAATCATTGTTCTACAGAAATATAGAGAAGATAGAACCATTAAAATAGATTGATAAGGGCAAATATAATCTTATTTTATGAAAATTCTGAAATATGATTTATATGATCGTATCATAATTAGAATTTCAATATTATATATCTTCAAAAAAAAATCATGATTAGAAGATATTATATATGGAGAGATAGTGAGCATATAGGAATTTTATCTATCGATAATTTCGAGCATCTCTTAGATTAGGTTAGATCTCAATATAGAGAGGTATTGATCGGGCGGCTTATTGAAAGAGATTTATAACAGGTGACATATATCGCCCAAATGGCATGGGCATCTAAATAAATGAAAGGAAATCTATAATTAGATAAATAAGAAGAACTTCGAATTCTCTAAGACACTTCGACATATTTAAAAATTTAAAACTTGCCACCAACCCTAATTATGAGGCATCCCAGATCTTGGGTCGTATCGATAATTAGGTTTTGCAAATTTCATTCGATGGCAATATTTGGATTATGCAGATTCTTTTTCGATCAATTATTAAGTCAGGGAGGGGGGGGGGGGGACGTTAATATCTTCTCCTAATCGTGATTTATTTTCTGGCGTTGCATTATCAATCTTTGGCTAGGAATGTTATTATTTGACGAGGAAGATATTTATCTTTGTTATAATCATATATTGGACCCATATGGGCATCATATCTTGGGATATATTCACTAGGATTGCAAAAATGGGGATCCAAAACCATAATGATTTAGGTAATATTATCTTTCGAAAAACGCGCCTTATTGGTTTGAATCCTATTTTGGAGATTATTGGTCTTTTGCCGGACGATCCGAATTATCGATCAATTGATATATTCCTCGGCACCTCCTATCCTTCGGCAAAATTCTTGGTTTAAATAAACATCCTCGAATTAATTTGGATACGACGATAACTAATTAATCTTTTTTCAATCTTCAATCTTAATTATTAATGTAATTGGGGCAATATGGGTTGTGTCCTAATATACCCAATGTAAATGTTTGTCATTGCGAGGTGCGTGGCGTTTCGTCTTTGAGAATATGGGTGGTCTTAAACAAGAGGCCCGTGATTCATTAATCAATTTGTATGACCGGGTCGACGAATATTAACGGCGTACCATAATATATGCTTTTGAAGAATATTTGGCATTTACAAGGTCAAGAATTGCATCATCTTATTTCTAGGAATTTTTTCCAAATTATATTTTTCTCTAGATTTATATCCCTTCCTTCAGATAACGCCACATCATTAATCAATTAAATCAATTTTTTAATCAATTCCACGATAGCACTTATCTTTATTGCGACAATTCCTTCAAATTTTAGATCGATTCAATCCCAATAGAATCTTTTTCAATTCATCATTTTTATTCTTCTCTTCGGAGGCTTCCGACTCCAAATCCATCAATCTATCGGCCTTATTTTTCCAATTTTCAAGCTTGCCCTCATTACCGAAATTCAATATAGAGAAATCAATCATAATGCCACAAATTTATTCAAAATCATAAATAAAAGCCTCATCCGATCTACACGATAGTAAATATTCCCATGAAGATATTAAATTGAATGAATCATAGAATTTGGTCAAATCCATCATACCCTTTAAACAATTTCAATTGTAAACAATTTCAATTGTCCGATCTACCTCTGATACCTTCTTCGTAAGCTCCTTGATGTATCAACAAGCTTTAGAAAAATATTTGCGAATTGTTCATCCGCAAGTCCGTTCTTTACGATCCCGAGGATTATGAAAATCTTCTCTTGGAGGACCATCATCTTGAATTGGGTGAGAAGAAAATGCAAGGCCAGCCCGTACGCTCTATCTTTCGAGATCTTCGTCATGCTCAGAATATCTTCCCACGCCCCTGCGCGGGTTTTCCCTCCTTCCCCCCCCCCCACCCCCCTGCCCCGTTTCGGGGGCCTGGCTCAAGTCTACGATCAATCCAAGCCGACCCTCAACCTTGAACCTTGAACCTTGAACCTTGAACCTTGAACCTTGAACCTTGAACCTTGAACCTTGAACCTTGAACCCTAAACCCCAAAAAACCCTAAACCCCAAAGCGTGAACCTTGAGCCCTAAGCCCTCAATCCTAAACTAACCCTCAACCCTAAACCCTAAACCATAAACCATAAACCCGGAACCCTAAACCCTAAAGTCCAGCGACTTGGGCGCTGTGGAATCACCATGCTCACGCGGATGCGCTGGGCCGGGCCGAGGCGGGTCGCGTAGCGTTAAAATTAGATCGTGATTCAGAAGGCACATTTGCGAACGCTTCCACTGCGGGAGAAAAACCCTAAACCCTAAACCTTAAACCCTAAACCAGGGAAGACCGATCCAGCTCAAACATACATGGTCGAGACACCATAATATCATAAGTTAAGCTGCGAACGTCAAAGGTACGAGTACGCCCAACAAAGCATCACCACCGCAGCGCTCTTTGTAATGTGTGCGCATTGTCAAGGCCGTATCAATTCGAACTCCTCGTCCTCGGGGCCAAAAGCAACCGCAACAATATTGAATGCCATTGCGAGAGATCAAGCGTAGAATCTTGGAACACATGGCATAATCTGTCCAATGAATTCAATGACTCTCGTGCCTCATCCTCATCCTCGTCGTCCTCATCTTCACGCCCGGCCTCTGAAAGGCCACACTGTGTGGACTAAGCGCGTTCACTGTAAGCACACAGTCGTCGTGATCATGCAGTTCTGGATCCGAATCGCAATAGTCACACTTGAAGATCAAAAAGGTGGCCGCTGTCATGTGCAGGCAGAGCGCTCGTTCCCCACAGAGGACTATGTAGGGGAACATCTGCACTTGCGACCAAGTCTGCATGAGACAGCGTTTAACCCTCGCTGCAAGAGAACATTCCAGGCGAGGTGGCTTTGGCTCTGGAGTGAGTGGCAGTGCTCGTTTGCATGGCGTGCGTGCGGAAACACACACGTGGTTGCAGGCCGCACACAGCCTGGAGACGAATCCAACTTCAAGTTACAGGCCTGTCCATGCACGAATGTGCTGGCGATGACTCTTCTGGTTTCTTGCTTTTGTAAGCGGAATGCGTGTGAAAGGCTTACCTGGTCTCGGGCCCCAGCAAGTGGACTTGCTGTTGATGTCCTTCCCTCTCCAGACAACTATCATTGTGGCTTGAACAGCCCACAGCTCTCAAGGGCGAAAGCTGGATGCAAAAATATGTCGGTAGACATGGCAAGCGGTTCAGGGCGAAAGCGCAGCTGAACATACAATTACAATAGTAGAGATCCTGCAGTTTGGGCAGCCACATGCTGGTCTCCATGCCCTGGGCCCACACGCACAGCTGCTTGAACCGGAAGCCCGTAATGAAGACCAGCGCTACCTTAGACGAAGAGACAGCGTCGGATTCTTCATACTGTGTCGGTTTGGTGGACTCGCGTGCCTCTGGCGAAGTCTCTTACACATGGATTATACTACAAGAGGCAAAGCTGATGAAGAATGAAACTTGGTTGGGAAATGTGTCCTGTCCCCAGAGCTCTCGTGAACCTTTTCACATGAACTTGCACGCAGCTAGCGTTCCCCAGACCTTGACAGGCGTCCTTCAGACGCAGCTTCAACAATGCAAACGATAGCAGGCCGGATGGGCGCCGAATGCGCTCTGTGCAATGCAAAGATGACGTTTCTTGTTTCATGAACGTCATGTTAAGGTTACCTTTCCTGCTGCATGCCATACGATTGCCCGTTTTGGTTGTGCCATCCAACCATCTCTGCGTTCTAGGCTGTAATTGCGAAGATACCAGACACTCTGCCTTCGTGAGCAGACTTTTCGGCCAAGCCGAAAACCGTTTCTGCAAATATACAAAAGCTACGGTACTGCTGTGACAGGCGCTCATGGATCGCATCAGTTAGCACACGCTGCCGATTTTCGAGTAAAGGCAGGCACGCACACATGGCAGTGCCCCCGAACCTCCGGCAGCCTCTGTGGACTGAGGGTCATGCCAGAAAAGCCGTAAGCATAGCCAGGAAGACAGGTATGCCTTGAACGTGCACACAGAGCGTAGAAGGGTAGATTCTGAAGGTGCGACCGTGATTGATCAGTCTCTGACGATAGTCATCGCCAGGATCGCCATCATCCTGGCACTGACAAATCGTGCATTTGATGAACAACACGGTGGACCTTCATTCCCTGGTGCAGGATCCTAAACTCGTTCGCGGCTCAGAGTCTCAATATGTCTCAATGCACCCACCAAGGGACAATCGGCCTCAACAACGACATCCTCAGCGCGCAGGAGACTCACAAGACATACTGTTGACCTCTGTGCAACATTTGCTGAGATCCTGTCTTGTGTGCATGTCGCGAAAGGACACTTGAAGGCATTCTTCACATGCTTCCCGAACTCTGGAAGGACGTGGAATGGATCGAAGGGGTTAAAGGATTCCTGGCAACAGGTTTAGCACTGCCGTTTAGCATCTCCTCAGAGGAGAGGTTCAATGCCCGCTGCAGGCCTTCGTCACATTGGAGATCAGCGTGTTGACTGGTCTGCCTTCAAAAAATTCGCAAAGAGAAGCGCGCAGAAAGCGCAGGAGGAAGGAGACCAAGGACCGGTGTA